TATCTCTGCAGCCCGAGTGAGGGCCGAGAACCTCTGGCCCCAGGAAGCGCATGCTCACTTGGTTCGCCTCATGGCTCCCATAACCAAGTCTCCCTTGAGTCAGGTAAGAAACGTGCGGAAGGAGTGGGACACCCATCTTCCCACTCGCAGGCCACCTCAAGAGTTGGACTGGCCGCATTTGAGGTCAGTGGATGGTGTGTGTGGAACACGCTGAGTGATGGCAGTGGTCCTGGGCCACAAGGGCCTGAGGCGGGCGCGGGGCGCTGGGGACTCGGGTGCTAGCTCGAGGCGCGCCACGTGGGCCTGGGCCGGCCGGCGGCGGCTCCCAGCTCTCGGCCGGGACAGCAGGCCGCAGGTCGAGGCCGGGACCTGACTCCTCTCAGTCGTCCAGTGCTCCTGGGCGTCGGGACTTGGCTTCTCGCGCGCCAGCCGCTGAATGGCGTTGGGAGTTGGAAAGGCTGCAGGCACCTGGGTGTGACCGAGGGCGGAGGGCGAGGTGGCTGCACCAGGTGGGAGCGGCTGGGGCGCGTGGCCTTGGGTTCCCGCGGGGATGCCCGCCTGCCTGAGGACCTACTGCAGCGGGGCTGCGGCGTGGTGTGGGTGGGGGGCCCTGGAGGACAGAGCATGGCCGCCGAGGGAGGTGTGAGGTGACAAGAGCAATTGAGGAAAAACTAAGACACCTGCTCCTGCGTTGACTACTAGGGCCGGAGGAATAAGGTATGAGGAAAGTGGTGTTTTTAAAGGGGTGGGTGGGGGTGGAAGTTGTGTGCTGTAGCCTTTCTTCCCCAGGCAGTTAGGAAGAAGTTAGGTGTGTACTCGAAAGAAAGTAATGGTAACCAATTAGAATTCTTTAATCTGTTCAACCGAAATGGCCCTTAGTTGTGGAATAGTGAGGCAGGAGTACCAGGTGTTGGATTATAGGGTTTGTGAAGCAATGCAGAGAGAGGGTGTTAGAGATCGATTAAGGGTACCCAATAATACTGTAAACGCATAGAAACAGATACCATATCTATTCTTTGAGTTTGTTTTATGTAGTTAAGTAATTCAGCTGTGTTGCTTCCCTTCTCTACCATTCATCTTTGGAGTTTTTTTTTTTTTTTAACCCAAAAATGAACCTGAAAGGGAAGGAGAACATTAATTGCAATATGTTGGTTAAATTTGGTCACAAGAGAGATTGGTGTGATTTTATTGTTAATTTCTTCAATTTATCTTTTGCTGTGGAGCAACCTGCTATACAAACACTTGTGGGCTGGGAGATACACATAGGGAAGACTTCAGTGGTAGATTTGTCCCTGGGGTGATGGATCACTTTAGCCAAATTCCAGTACTTTTCTGAGCCTTAGTTTGTCAGGTGGGAAAAGGCCTTAAAAGTCACTCATTCACTCGTATATGCAGAGCTGGCATACGTGCCACAGGATTATTCAGCCCTGAGTGACAGAGAACTTGCTATGTGCCAGAATGGCTGAGCCACCCAACCCCTCTAGACAGCCGCTGCTCTTGGAAAATTCTTTATGTTGAATCCACATCTGTTTCTCTACAGTTTGCACTCATTGGAGCTGTACAGAATAAAATGTTTAATACTGCTTCCACAAATATTTGAGGACTGCTAATACATTTCCTTTTCCCACTCATTCCACAAGCCTCCTTTTCTTCAAACTAAACATGCCTGTTATTTCAAACAGGAAGGCAGTGTGGGGTAGTGGAAAGATCACCAGCTCTGGAGCCAAACACATCTGCCTTCACTTTCCAGTCCCTTTAGGTAGTAACATTTAGTACCCTGTGCTACTGTATCTTTCTCTGAGATGTGTGAATGGAAATACTCATCTAGCCAAACTTTCGTGAGGATTAGGGACAAATTAGGTGGCAATCTATGTTCATATTAGGAGCTTAAAGTGTGACAGCTGTAAAAAAAGTGTTAGAGCTGTTATACCTTCATTGACATGATTTGCACTACATTTTAGTTGAACTCTACACATGTTACTGTTTATGTACCTCTTAGTATCTTCTCTGTAAAAGAGAATAAAATACTCTGTGAGGTCTAAGTAGCAGAATAATGTAGGATTATCTTGTTCCAGGTACTTCTCCATAGGCTTCAGTCACAGTAGAGTTTTTTTTGAACTGTATCACACAGACTCACTAAATCTTTTTTTCAGTGAAAACCATGTTTTTGAGTGCTGCTATTCAACGAACTTTCTCCCATCCTGGACTTTTTTTTTCAAACCTATAATTATGGCTCCTAAAAGTGGCAGTCCCAGTGTTCTATTATGTTGTCTTCACAATTATCCTTGCATTTGTCATATTCTGGGTCTCAAGATTAGAAAAATACGACTATTGAGCCTAGGGAGCCAGCTCTGCTGATCTCCCACTGCTGTTGTGTATCAGTGAGATGGTAAATGCTGAGCTTTCTATGCTAATTTTTGCACAAAACTGAGCTCTTTTTATGATATACATCTGTGTTAGAATTGGAATGTCTGATAAGCTGCTGGCTGAGGGAATTTTGCTGTACGTGATGTCAGCTAAGGACAGTATTTGGAAGAACTAAAAGGGTTCCCTAAGCCAGAGGGGGACTTTGCATTTATGTGTGGTTACATGTTTTATCAGATAGTCTCAGGACCAGATTCCCCCCTTAGGAAGTCAGGCGCAGTTAGAAGATTACTTAAGTCTTTGGCTCCAGGGGCATTATGGCCAGCATTTTCTTCCAGAACTTCTGAAAACATTATCAAGGCTGATCTGTCACATGATCTGTTTTTTTCCACTCCTTGCCCTTGTGCTGGAGCTGATTGCAAACTTGGGAGGCTTTCCTTGCCTAAACAAATTCTAGTTTCCATGTCTGTCTCAATTTCCTTCTTTAAGTTTTCCCTACTTAGTTTAGGAGGACTTCTCCTAAGAGCCAGATGTAGCGTTCATGTTGTCTTTGGGAGCTTTCCCACACCCTCTCTCCTAACCCCAGGGTTTAAATGGTTTCTCCCACCAGTCTACCTACTTGTTCCATGTGGGTAGACTTTAGAAAATTATCTTCATCTTGAATGCTGAGTCCTCTGGCCTAGTGAAAATGAAAGTGTGAAATTGTTGAACTCAAAGTTTCCATTGACAATAAACACGAAAAATATATAATACCAAGACTCTTGTCCGTAGTTCAAAATAGGAATGACTTGACAGTGTTGAAAGGACCAATTTAAATTTTTCTAAGTAATTCAGTCTCTAAAAGGTGGCAGTGACCAGTTAATACAGGTGGTGATCCTCGACTTGCAAAGAGACTAATTATATTTTAAATGATCAATTAAAGAGTCAGAGGGTTAAATCCATCTGTAGCTTCTCATTTCTTTAAGACAAATTCCAGATTCCTTATGATGACCTACTCTCTCTAGCTAATTGTTTTGCCTGTTGGTGTCCAAAAGGATGCACTGCTTTCCCCTTAAGATTTTGTGGTCAGGAACCTCCGGTGCTTTGCAGCCCTTCTGGCTGGAATGTTCTTTGTCTCACTGGTAAATGTCTATTCATTATTCAAGCTACCCCTTCCCCGCTCCCCTTAATTACTTCCTCCCATGTAGCCCTCAATTTCTTGTACTTAATTCAGTATTTGTTAGGAGCCTGTATTGTGGCCGGCACTGTGGTGGGCTCTAAGAATATAAAAGGTGAATAATACTTTGAGGGCCTTCCATGTTGGAAGGAGGACTTGTCACAAAATGTTACTGAGAAATAAAAAGGAGAGTTAAAAAATTTTAGAAAGTGTCTGCCATCTCTCCAGATGGCCAGAATTTTTCTCTGGGGCAGGGGCCATTTCTCATTAATTTTGTACATATTCCTCCCCCCCCCCCTTAGCATACTAAACAAGCGTTTGTTTCCTGACCTCTTCAATTGAACCGAAGTTATCCCTAGTACTCTGTCACACGCTCTGATGACATGTTCTTAAGTGGTGGCTTCTACAGTGTCCAGTGGCTGACCCTGAGCTCCTGGTCCATAGTTAGATGCCCGCGGGCACAGTTAGCTGGGCAGTTTGCCTGCTGTCAAATGGTATGCGACTGTACTTTTGGGCCGTGGAATCACCGAGCTGCTGAAGAGTGGAAAAGAAGCCTGCAGCGCCTCTGCTGGCGCAGTCACAACAGAGTTCAGGCCTCCCTTGCTAGTTTGCAGCTGGTACGCGATCATCAGAATTTCAATTTACAGCTAGAAAATGCACCCAGACAGTGATGTTCTATACATTTGAAGGCGTGTTAAAGCCCTTTAAAAGGATTATGGATTTAAAAATACTTTCCTTCTTTCCTGCACCATCGTACACAAATAAAGAGGGGCTTGCTTCCTAATGGCACAGTGGGTTGAGCATGTTGCAGGACGGGTGCTGTGGCGCCCTCTAGCATACCAACCACGTCACGCTGCCGCAAAGGGAACGTGCCAGGCGCCCTGCAGTGGTCTCATAGGGTGAAACCAGACTTTCTGCAATTTTGGCTTATCATGTTCCTTGCCGGTCATCCCATGAATTTTTCCACCAGTCCAGGGGAGAGTCCTGGCAGAATCTGTCTTCCTTAGCTATATGTTTGCCCATTGGTCATTGCCATAATTAGGGGCTTAGCCCGCGCTTTTAGACGTGGATATGCATAGGTTTCAGCATCCACGCTTCGGGCATGAAACGGGAGCTACCACTTCAAGTACCCAGCCTGGCTGTCCCTTAGGTTAAGCAACCATCTTCTGAGTCCGGGAATCTGTGGGTGGTCTAGGGTAGTGTCAGGGTCTCCGGGTTCTGCCATCTTTATCCAAGGCGTGTCTGAGGAAGGATTTCTGCACCAGAACCATGAGCTCAGGGTTGATGAGGGGGGTCTGCATGGGACCTGGAGGGCAGTGGTGGGGAGTTGGCAGCCCTGAAGGTGCCGGTGAGTGGAGGGCCTCGTTTCTGTGGCGGCAGGGCTGCAGGGAGGGGCCCTGCAACAAGAGCGAGGAGGAGGGGCGCTGCCGTGGCGGTGGGCGGGTCAGGGGCGGGGCAGGGTGGACTGTAAAAGTCGGTGCCCGCTCGCCCAGTGCTGCCGAGGCCACCAGCACTTCCCAGTGCGCTCGTGGTGGCTTGCGGGCAGCATTGGCCCCAGAGCCTCCTCTGCGGTAGCCTCGCCTCTCCATCCAGCGCAGTGCCGCATCAAACGCTCCAGTAGCTACTCGTTGCTGTGGCCGCTCTGCGTTGACTCGCGCTGTGCCTCCGCTGCCACCAAGCCTGCACTGCTGCGGGTGCCGCGGTGCGCCCCGAGCTCCGCAACCCTGCGGCGGGCGGCATGGGATAATGCGGCCATGGTGCGCCGAGATCGCCTCCGCAGGTGGGTGCGGCTTCTAACAGGGTGTTAGGGGGTGTGGCCGGCCAGAACCGAGCCTTGCAGCCGCGTGGGGTGCTTCACCCGATGGTGAAAATGCCACCCAGTCCGTGGCAGTGCCGCTGCCGTGGAAGAGAGGAGTCGTTCCAATCGTGGGTTGGATGGGTTTCCCTGGTTTAGAATTGTAAACCCTGGAATCTCCCATGTGAGATTTAGGATTTTTAGATCAGTACCTCTTCCTTGAATGTTTTAAGATTTCTAGACTATAGTACTACTGTTATACCTTTGTGCGCATTGGGATTTTAGAGCGTGGTTATTGCTGTGACGTAATTTAGGATTTTTAGTCCCAGAAATGGCTCCGACGGGATTTAGGATTTAAAAGACCCTCATATTGACACGCAGCGATTCAGAATTTCTAGACCCCAGCATCACCGTGGTGCAGTTTAAGATTTTAAAACCCCGCTGTTGCCGAGGGTTGATTTAGGATTTCTAGATCCAGTTATCGCCATGGCGTGATTTAGAATTTCTAGCCATGGAAACGCCCAGGTGGGATTTAGGATTTAACCTAATTATCGCTGTGGCATGATCTGGGATTTCTAGACTTTGCCATTGCCCAGTTTAGGATTTGACGACCCTTCAGAGTTGCCGCAGCCTATGTAGGATTTCAAAATGCGGATATTGCCGCGGCACGATCCAAGACGCTGACAGCGCGGATCTCAAAATGTGGGTATTGCCGCGGTGCGATCCAAGCTTTTCCGACCCTAACAGCGCGAAGACGCTGATGCATAGGTGTGCCTGGACCTCGCCAGGTCCTGGCGCTGTCAGTATTAGCGCAGGGGGAATGGAGACGCGACCAAATTGTCATTATATTGGGAGGTGTTCGCTCTGGTTTAGATTTCCAAAATAGTGTGTTGTTTTACAGCAATGCCGTCAGGTGGGCAGATTTGGTGGTATTAGATGAATATCCCACTCCTCCAGCCCTCATTTACAAGACGAAGAAATAAAGACTCAGGTTAATTTCCAGTTTGTCACTGGAGTTTGAATTCATACTCTCGAATCATGGCTCCATGAAATAATGGGGATTCAACTAAAAAATGTTTGTTTAATCTACTTTGCCTACTGACTGCCTGATTGATGAAAATCCTGAAATGTTGTTGGAACATTTTTACCGGTAATTGAGACAGAGAATGGCTCCCTGCAGGGTTGTCTGTTTGCTTTCTGGGAGGAAAGAGGAGGATGTGGCTGGTTTCCGAGCGGAGCGCGGGTGTTCCGAGCGGAGCGCGGGTGTTCCGAGCGGAGCGCGGGTGTTCCGAGCCGAGCGCGGGTGTTCCGAGCCGAGCGCGGGTGTTCCGAGCCGAGCGCGGGTGTTTGGTGCTTCATTTTTTACAATCCCCCGCCCGTAGCACTAACTGAAAGTCCCCTAATTTGCTGCCGTTGGAACCCGTCTCTGGCTCTGCTGAGTCACTGCACATTCAGCTGCTAGGACCGTGAATGGGTGCTACTAGAGGCAACGTGAAAATGTATTATCTGAGACAGGACAGATGGTGCTAAGGTAATAACCAAAACCTAATGCTTTTCGTCACTTACCTTTCAAGCAGGTATGGAGATGTAACCTATTACGGTTTCAGGGATCAGATTGTGATAAACATCATGTGCTAGCATTTTTCAAATCATTTCTAGTATTATCTTTAAAGGTAGAACCAAATCATTGTATCTGATTTACAGACACTTTGGGAGGGGGAATAGATTGCTTTACTGATCCCTAAGACATAAATAGGGGAGCTGAAATTCTTCAAGGCACATGGTTATATTACTGCTGTGGGATCATCAGTTTGTGTATTTTTAAGAGTTAAAAAAAAGAGCGTTTTGTGAGTTGGATTAATTTGTATTAGGGGTTATGGCCAGATAACAGGTAATATGATGGTAGGGTGTGTGTTTACTAGGAGTATACCAGTTGATATCCTTTATTTGTAGCAATTTTCCCGACAGCTTTAATTTTAGTTTTGGAGAGTATTATTTTGTTTGTTTTGAGAAACTTTCTGACAGTTCTTTTCCTGGTGACTATTGGAAGTCATAGACTAGACATAAGAAACTGTTTCTAATTCTCTTCAACACTTGTATTTAGTGTGGATAAATTGATCTGGATGGATCTTTGAAGTTCTGAGGATGGCAAGGGTAGGTGTACAAACCAGTGTTTCCTCCAAAGACAAAACCAATTCCAACATGCCAGGTATGAGGTCTGCCTAGTTTTTTTGGGGGGGGTGGGGAGTAGATGTTTCAAGGAATAAATCCTATGAAATTAAATAAATGGGTATTTCCTCAGCTTTTTGCTAAGAAAAGCAGAAGTATAATCAGCTTCTCAGACTTCTCAAAGAGATTAGATATTTGGGGTCATGACAAAGCTGCTTACATTAGAATATACTGTGCAACAGCTATCTTCTTGCTCTTACACACTCTGATCTGCATAGTTTCTCAGTCTATATCTAGATACTAGTGCTAAATAAGACTTTACTTAGGCCAGAAGGTTGATAAATATTAAAAATTAGGAACACCTCTCTGCTTAAGATATGTGATCACACAGGCTTAAGACCTTGCATGAGCTTTACACATTTTACTGGTGGTGGCTGTTGAGGTGGTAGAATTTTTAGAGTAAGTATGAAAGAAATTATTTTTTCCCTCAAAAACTTGATAAAAGCCAGTAAAACTTCTTTAGTGGGTATCAGGAAGAGCTCATATGGAGAGGTGTGGGAGGGGAGAAATAGATTACATATTGAAATATGTTTTCCCCTTGAAAGTAGAATAGTGAGCAAATGTGTGACTGTCATATCAGACAAAAGCAGTCACATTTTATTGTTAATCTTTTTGGCATGCTCCTTATGAGGGGCAGTGTTGTCACTGCATGGTTTCTTACTTCATACCAGTTCTGGTTTGCAGATGTGTACAGTGCCCCTCATTTCTCCACAGGATGAGGGAGTGGTGGGTCCAGGTGGGGCTCCTGGCTATGCCCCTGCTTGCTGCCTACTTGCACATCCCACCCCCTCAGCTCTCTCCTGCTCTGCATTCATGGAAGACTTCTGGCAAGTTTTTCACCTACAAAGGACTGCGCATCTTCTACCAAGGTAAGAACTCACCCCTGGAAGACCTTGAAGGTGTGGGTCATTTAGGTCCTTGCTGACATTATTTTGTGTCACTACTCTCTGTTGCCCCATAGTAAGAGGGGAGAGTAGGCCCTTTTTATGCACTGTGATTGAAGGAGTGGATTATTTCCTCTTATTTGCTAGAGAGGAAGGGATTCAAACTTCTGGGAAGGTAAAGGTTAAAACTGAGATTACAATCTCTGTATACCTGTATACCTAGTAAAAGTATTTTTATGGCCTGCCATCTAGTCAGATATTGGTTTTTCTTTTGAGCACCCCTAGTGTCAGGTAGTATGATATTCAGAGATGGAACCATTGTTTCCCTCCCTCCTATCCCTGATTTTATTTTATTGAATTGTTTTCTGTAAACATGATTTGTTATATGTGTTTCCAAATGTGATTTATATCTTTCATTGTTGTATAAATTAATTTGCTAATGATAATTATTATGACTATTTATCAGGTAATTATCATATGCCAGGCATTATGTTACATTTTCAACCTTCATTGTTTCATTTAACCTTTACAACAGCATTTGAAAGTGGATGCCAGTATATCTTATTTCATAGGTGAAGAAATTGAGACTGGAAAAGATTTCTTTTGGGCGGGGGTCAAGAGCAATAACGAAAAATGTTTGTCATAAACCGTTTTTCATTATTGCTCCTGACCTCCTCTCATTTGCTATATCCAATTAAGTGTAAGTATATAATTTTCTTCATGATGGTTTGATTTGTTTCCAGATTGTCAATATTTGATAATATACAGATTCTTAAGAATTACCTAGGCTAAAGCATATGAAAATCTTAATTGGCTCCAATTAAATTATTTTTGAAAACTGTCTAACCAAATTTTCATGCTATTGGCAGTATATGAATGCATTACGTTTTAACCCAATACTATTAGCAAGGCATTTGTATCATTTGGCTATCCTTAATGCTATTTAATGATTCCAAATTGTAATACACATTTAAAAGTGTCTATATTGATTGACCTTTTTGTAGTTGATACAATTTTGTAGTAGTCTGAGCATTAGGCTTTTTGGATTGGTTCTCTTCCACTGAAATAAGTCCTAGATGAACAGTATAAACTAGGGTACTCTCTGAGAAGAGCCAACTATATCTTAGAGAATTTTTGTGCTAAATTAGTGATAGGATAGGAAGCATTTTTAACTTATATTGTGATTGTTTTTAACTTTGAAAGTTTGCTTTTTAATGTGAAAAAAGCTTACATACAAATGTAAAATAGAGGAAGAAATAAGAATATGCTTTGGAAAATGATCTAGGTGAAGGTGATCAAGCTGCCTTTCAGCTATTTTCATATAAAGTATATCCTATTTACACTTTTAATTCAAAATTTAAAAAATTCAAGAGAAAATGCTTTTTCTTAACTAAAGCAATAAGCTTGCATTTAAAAAAGCAGTGTATCGTTTTAATGTTATTACTTTGGTAACAGATTCTTGTGCTTTGTACTAGATTAGATTTTTAACATCTTAAGTTATTTTTACAGGGAATTGGTCTAATTGATCTCTTTCCTTTTTCCTAGATTCTGTGGGTGTAGTTGGAAGCCCTGAGATAGTTGTGCTTTTACATGGCTTTCCAACTTCCAGCTATGATTGGTACAAGGTAATATAGTCATTTTCTAGATTCCACTGTATCTTCAAAAAATCCAAAATCCAGGATTTTGTTAGCACTGGAAGACTTCAGCACATTTGAATCGCTTAATAACAGCATCAACACCAAACTGTTTCTCATTTACTCTATGGAGGCAAAAAAAACTTTGGCAGCCTGAAAGAACTATTGCCAAGTTAAAAATACTAGTATCCTGCCCTCAATAGAGATTAATTACTAGAAATCAAACACTTTCCAAAACAACCATCTGTGGGGACTATCATGGCTTCATGAGGCTTTTGCTTTATTGAGTATTTTGCTTTATCTAAGTCTGCCAGTTTGAGAGTGGGATGAGGTTTTTTTTTCCTGCTCTGGGTGAGAATAGGTGGCACAAGAGTAGAACATGCAAATCATCTGTTTTTTTTTTTTTTTTTTTCCCTATAGATCTGGGAAGGTCTGACCCTGAGGTTTCATCGAGTGATTGCCCTTGATTTCTTAGGCTTTGGCTTCAGTGATAAACCAGTAAGTAACAACTATATGGGGCTGGTGTTGGGGGTGGGATAGTTGTGAATAGAACACTCAGGTCAGCAGAGATCTACACTTGTTACTTCATCCTGTGTATCTGGCCTTTCCTTAGAGACCACATCACTATTCCATATTTGAACAAGCCAGTATCGTGGAGGCGCTTTTGCGGCATCTAGGGCTCCAGAACCGTAGGATCAACTTATTGTCTCATGATTATGGAGATATTGTTGCTCAGGAGCTGCTGTATAGGTCAGTGAAGCCAGACTTCTGTTGCTTTAGTTTAGGATGCTGGGAAAATAAATAGTTCCTGAACCCAACCTTACCCATTCCCTGGGGAAATTGTTTTCACTGCTGTATTTGTGTCCATCTGTTCAGCTATGTTTCCTTATCCCCTGCTCCAGGTACAAGCAGAATCGATCTGGTCGGCTTACCATAAAGAGTCTCTGTCTGTCAAATGGAGGTAATTGTTTTGGTGGTAGGTGGAACTGGCTTATAGCCTAGAAGGGCTACTTTAGATGTTATGGGACAAAAAATAATAAACTGAAGAGACTGCAAGCAGACACAATGAAAGTAGCTCTTTTGCCTTTTCTTTGTGCCATGAACTGTTTTGATAGTCTAATGACATTTATAGATCTTTTCTCAGAGTACTGTTTTTAGAAAATACGATCAAGAAGAGTACAAAGGAAAGTGATTATATTGAAGTGATCAATAAGAAGCTGCATTAGAGTCATATGTGTTTCTTTTGCAGTGCATTAGACAAACCTAATGGTGGGTGCACTGATTAGGAGTGTAAAGGCTGCTATGCTATATCTGTAGGAACTACAGGGGGTTAGGGAAGGATAGGCTTTGAGATAGAAGGCCACTGGTGCTTCTGAAATGTCTGTGATATTAGTGTCAGATTCTTAAACTCTTGCTAGATGTCAGAACCAGGTTTCAGTTAGAAATTAGTAACCCTGGATTAGACTTTTTGGAGAGGCTTATTTTGTGTGCCACTGAGCACAAAAATCCACGAATATATAAATGTCCACTGAGTGCCTTATGGACAGTTTTGGGAAAACTTTTAGTGCTCCTGTTTCTTCTACTGACTGTAGAAAATAGAAAAGGAAAAGCTAATTTATTTTTTCTAAAGATTTATACTTACTGAACAATGCTCTGTGTTTGCAAACCAGATCATTAACAACACTGTGTTTTGAACAACTGAAAGGGAAGTCAGAGCCTAGTTATTAGCATTATATATGACAATATAAATGATTTTTCCACTTTTCTACCTTTAAAATGGGAAAGTAATTCCAGTGAACTATAACTTACCAGCTGAATTTGGAATTTCTTGGAGAAGTATATGACAATACAGTCATGCTTTGCTTAATGAGAGGGATACACAGAGTCCACTGTTGACTGAAATACTGTCACATAGAACATGACTAAAAGCAATCTCCTCTTCTAAAGGTATTTTTCCTGAGACTCACCGTCCTCTGCTTCTCCAAAAGGTTGGTTACTTTACTAAATAGAAACCGAATATTTAGATTTGTGCTGACATAGAACTGGGTCATTTTAATGGCTATGTTTGCTGTAATGGATCATAATTAAACTTTCTCATTATTTATTTATTTACTAGGAATTGAACTTGGGACCTTGCATTTGCCAGGCAGCTGCTGTGCTGCTGGGCTATATCCCAAGCCAAAAATCTTCCTTATTGATCCATTAATAATTCCATAATTAACTTCATAATTAACTCCATAAATTAATGGATTTAATTTATCTCTGCTTAGGCAAATCAAAGCAATGGAAGTGGATCCTACATAAACTGAAAACTATTTGTGAGGATGAAAGTTGCACAAATATTTGAAGAAATACTACTGTGTAAAGAGTTATGTCACAAGCATTACATCTGAATAGATTGGAATCTTAAAAGTCTTAAGGCTTTATGGCAAGGCAAGGAGGCTTGTACCCGTAATTCTAGCTATTTGGAAGGAAGACTGAGGCAGGAAGACTGCCTGAACCTAGAAGTCTGGGGCCAGCCAAAGTAGAGCCCATTTAAAAAAAAAGGTGGAGGGAGCTTTAGCAAAATGTAGAAATGTAAACAGTCTCTTAAAAGAAATTGAAAATAGTGCTCACTTTGGTAACACATATACTAGAACAAATTAGGAATTAGAGATAGATTTATCTTCCATGAGAATAATGTAGGTCAGCAATACAAGAACAAAACAACTCTCACCCCATGTACCAAAATGTTGAGATTTGGTTACCTTTATTAGTTCTTAGTATAAATCTTTAGACCTGGTGAACTGTCATCTTTCTCTGAATCCTTGTTTTTTTTTTTAACTTATTACCTACAGCTACTCAAAGATGGAGGCGTGCTCTCACCCATCCTTACGAGGTTGATGAACTTCTTTGTATTCTCTCGAGGGTAGGTCACTATGAAAGCCTGGCCTAGGAGTAATTGTAACTCTGGGCTAAATCCTGACATTTGGTATTTTCTAGCAAAGGTTTTGTCCTTTTGTCAAGGAGGCAGAAGGAATTAATAAATCAGCTAAGGGTCAGACCTTGTGACTGCTGAAATTCTAGTCACATTTAACATTCTGAATTCTTCCCACACTTACCTTTTTGTATTTTGGACTCTTTTTCAGGCTCACCCCAGTCTTTGGACCGTATACTCGACCTTCTGAGAGTGAGCTGTGGGACATGTGGGCAGGAATCCGCAACAATGATGGGAACTTGGTCATAGACAGGTAAGAAATAAGCATTTGCTTTAGGTTCCAGAAGGGTTCTTCTGGAGTTTGGACAAAATACAGGATTGCTTATTCTGTACCTAGCTGGCTTATTCTCTCCCACAAGAAGACTGGCTTAGGATTATGAGACAAACCTAAATTGTCATGATTTGTGCTTCCCAAAAAGAAGGAAGTCAAACATAGGATGAATGCACACTTAAGTTTAAATTGCTGCAAATTCTAATGCTAATTTCAGTTTGTCACCGACTTGGGCAAATCCTTCTTTAGACTCTATTAGTACTAAATGCTTTAGAATGTTCAATCTCAATTGTGAAAAGAATCTAAATGTGGTCCTGTGGTATGAGGCACTTCATTTTGTGTATCTTTTTTGTAGCAACAGGAAAGGAGATGCAGGATTTCCCTGTCTTATACAAAGGATTGCCGTGCTGCAATTCAAATGAGAAGATGAGAATGGAACCACTCTCACTGAGGGGTCTAGAGATGATGTTATCTGTTAAGTCCTTGAAGTGAGGCTCTGTTCTTTTCCCAAATGGGTCAGTGTACCTTCCAGTGTTCACTGATAGCTTTGCTGGGAACTGTGCATTAATGGGAGCCACTCTTCCCTCCCACCCCTATCCCCCATGAATTCCTCAAAGATTCATTTTACTATACAAAATTAAAAAACAGAACTCTCTTAAAATTCTCTTATATTTTCCTTTCCAAAAAGCAAATACTGTTTCTAAGAAGTGACACTGAGGTTCACAAAAATAACTGTCCTGGAGGTGCCAGGCAGAACAATTACAATGCATGAGTTTGTTAACACATAACTGTGGCATCTCACATTTAGTAAAAAAAATTCTCCCCATTCTATTTGTGGTACAGAGATGATGAAACCTTATGACCTTCTACATTTAGAATTTCAGACACAGATGTCAATTTAGAGACCCTACAGTTCAACCCTCTCATTTTAAAAATGAGGAAACTGAGATTAAACGTATGTGCTACATCATATTTTGGAGGCTCTGAGTTGGTTACTGTGGAGCCAAAATTCAAACTGAATATTCAGGCTGTAGTTACATATACTCCAAAATAATTCTTGGCCTTCCTGTGACCTCATTTCTTGCTTACTAAATACACAGAACCATTGATGCTCACATGGATAGTAGGTAGCCATTGCTCTAGTCACTTGATGCTTAACACAAACGGATAGAGTGGGCTGTTCCAAAAATTCCAGATTGGTTCTGGATTAAGATTTGTCAGTTACAGCCTGTGCCAGCCATTTGAGTCCCAAAACAATAAAGGTTTCTTATTCTGCTCCTGCTGACTTACCTGTCCCATAGCCTCTTGCAGTATATCAATCAGAGGAAGAAGTTTAGAAGACGCTGGGTGGGAGCGCTTGCCTCTGTAACTATTCCCAGTGAGTAACTTTATATTACTTCTTGATAGGAAACCTTAAGGAGTATGAGGTTAAAAGTAATCAGAATTCCTATTGACTCCAATTAGGGTTACCAGATTTAGCAAATAAGAATATAAGGCATGTAGTGAAAACTGAAATTTAGCTAAACAACTACTTTTAAAAATATAAGTATGTGCTGTGGGCTAACAAAAACCACCAGAATTTTTTTAATCTAAAATTCATATTTCATTGGGCATCCTTTATTTCACTGGCAATCCTATTCCCATCATCTGGAAATAAAATATATGTATAGATTGAAGTATAAAATACTGAAGGTATTATTGCAAATGTTGTTCATATTGCTGGTTTCTTTGGTGTACACTATCAGTGAGTACCACATTAAATTCTGAATTGCTGGGATTAGAGGCTACTAAGATATTAATCAAGTGCTTTTAAGTAGGTTGTACTCAGTCGAAATCGGGGCTTATAGCTTTTGGTCCAGGGCACAGATGAGCAGGAAGGACCAAATGGTTCTATGTAGGAGAAAATGTCCCAGATGAACTTTGAGCAGTTTCTAATAGCCTAACTAATAGAAGCTGGGTTTTCTATCATAAAAATTTTTTATTTATAGAAATCCCCTGGGGCTGGAGGTTTAGCTCAGTGGCATAAGCGCCTGCCTTGCAAGCAGACAGTTGTGAGTTCGATCCCCGGCACCGATAAAAAGACAAAAAAAAAAAAAAAATCTCCCATCACAGGGGAGTTAATTTTAGGGAGACAGTAGGGGGACAGATGTGAGAGCTCTTGGTAAGTCATTCTTCTTTTCTTTCTCTCAGTTCATTTTATCTATGGGCCAATGGATCCTGTAAATCCCTATCCAGAGTTTTTGGAGCTGTACAGGTGAGTCTCCCTCAGAGGTCTTTGTTTTGTTATTAGTATTTTATCCTGACAGGGGTAAACACAATTACTTCTTGAGGCACACACCTCATTGGCTGCTCATCCAGAAGACATAAAATAAAAACATGAGTTGGGAAGTCTTATTCTCATGTAAGTATAAAGATCAAGAACTTCAGTTAAACATTATATCAAATAGCCTATTTTCACTGTCATGGTTACATCATAATCCTAGGTGTAGAGGTTTAAAAAAAGCAATCACATAAACCTCAGGTTGAGCTCTGTTTTAGTTTAAACATAAACCAATTCACTGTCCTAACCTGAGCAGACAGCAAGAAGAGACTGAAAAGAGTTCACTGTGGAAAAGTTGTTATTCTTTGTAGTTGTCTTCTCTGGGTACTTACTTGAAAGGTGCCAGAATTTGAAATCTTGACTGTCACATAAGAAAGTTCCATACCTTCATGTGGCCTACTGGATACAACCCAGTAGTAGTAAACAGCTTGCATAGAATTTCAAGCAAAATTCCCTCTCATCTCTGGCGTTAAGGGAGTTCCCGTGCTATCTTTGCTTGGGCTTTGAGTTGCTGAATTGATCCACTTGTTTGATGCTTCATGTCTTTCTATGAAGTTGAATTCTGTTTTGCGAATTGTTGCAAAAGTGTTATATTTTCAAGTTGTCTGTTGGATGATGAATAATTAAAAGCTAGTATGTCTAAGTGGAATTGGCAAATTTATCTGCCTAAGATATAATTCTAATGTAGAAGGTGAATAACTGTGTTGATGGTTCCTGTGTGGTATGTCCATAGGGGCATTTACTAGGGCTTCCCACTGGCTTATACCCCTACCCACTCCAGCCTAAGTTCACCTACATGCTGTTCTCTTCCACTAGGAAAACGTTGCCGCGGTCCACAGTGTCGATTCTGGATGACCACATTAGCCACTACCCACAGCTAGAGGATCCCATGGGCTTCTTGAATGCATATATGGGCTTCATCAACTCCTTCTGAGCTGGAAAGAGTAGCTTCCCTGTGTTGCCTCCCCACTCTCATATCTGTTGTATATTCCACTTAGAAAGAAATGCCCAAAAGAGGTTCTGGCAATCAAATACTGTTATCACAAAAGTCCGCTTTTCTCACATTAGTGAATAGAATCCAGAAAAAAGGTAGCAAAATTTCTAAGGATGGCATAATAGTCCACTTCTTATTCCTTTGACATCTGAGCGAATGTATGGACTTACCTTTGTCTTTGTATTACTAGGAAATTCTGGTGAGCACTGCTTCTCATTGATTCAGAAAGACAGACATTAGATATTCTTTGCATAAAAGATTTTTGTACACTTCTGTAAACTTTTCTTAAATATTTAGAAATGTTAATATCTGGCCCGACCCTAATCGGAATCCTGCAATAAAAGAATGAGGAGAAAGGGCCTGCTTAACCTTTCCTTGAATAGCTTTATGGGCCCATGGTTTTTTAAATTTCTCTAAGTAACATAGCTTAAGTGACAGTGAGAATGAATCTCCCTTGTCATAACTTTGGATTTAGTTTCATTAGCTGTTTTCTAATTTTAGATATTTTGTTACAATAGATATTGAGTTAAATAATATGGTACCTGAGTGTGCTTTTATACTATAATTTGTCTATACATGTTGTGTAAATTTATAAGGATACTTAACCAGCAGACCATTAATCTGCCAGAGTAGTGAACCTTATTAAGCACGTATAATTTCTCAAACTGAACTGTGTCCAACTATTTATAGAATTTCCTAAAATCACAGAATATAAAGGACCAATTGCATTCTATGCCAGGGATTCACTGTTATTAGCTGGAAAGATAATTCTAAAAGCAAATAACAGTCTGACTCCTCATACCTCAGTGCCGTGGAAGCATGTCCCTTTTGAGCTTAAGTGGAGGGGAAGGGACTGTTGCGTAGTCCAAGTTCCCTTACTGAATATACACCAACTCCTCTTGTGATGACTGCCTATCTATCTTCTATTGGCTGTCACAGAGACGCTTTCTCATGTAGCTCAGCAGTTCCTGTCCTTTATAGATAGGAAACTTCCCAGATAATTATAAGAACAAATTGTAATGGACCTATAAGCAAATGGTGCTGAATAATTTTTTTAAAGCTACAGTTTCACTGTCTTAGTCAAAGCAGGATTATTACGTGATTAATTTTTTAGAAAAATTAGTAACTTCAAGGATAATAACTTTTAAACTGGAATAAGTGTTTATTTTCTATTAATAAAAATGAATTGTGACAAAAGTGGATTCTGGCTCCCCCAAACCCCCATCCTCTGGGATAAAATTTTCCAATACTGTCAGAAGCTTTCACACATTTATGTGAAAGAATGATGAAGTAAAGCAGCTGTAATATAGGACAGTATTTGATTTTTAAAGTCACCAAAAGCTGCACTGTCATACCAAAGCTGACCAAATGAGAAAAAAGAAAAATCAAACCAAACCAAGAAATACCAAAACCCATGCATAAGGACAGACAATTGCTTGATCTGCTGGCTCAGGGCCAAATATTTAATTTGCTTCTACAAGGTCATTAATCTTTAGGAGTGTGATTCTGGGGAATTCATGCCACTAAAAGCCCACTGACAACGAAGTGTGTTTTCTTGCTCAGTAAGAATTTATCCAACAGAAGCCAAGATAACATCTACAGGTGTTCTCTCTTTGCTTCTGACAGTCACCTGCATGGTCACGCCATCTGCTAAGGCCAGCCTGGACCTCACCAATAAATCGTAGCCACCTCTGTACACACCTGAGAGAAAAATGTAAGGAAAACCATATTAAGAACTCATAATAAGCTCTGATAATGAAATTTATCATGCTTACCCTATATCTCCTTTCTATTATTTTAGTTTAGCTTTTCTAGAAATTTGTGGGAACCACATACTATATAGGAATTCTAGCTTTTAAAAAAAATATTATCCTGAGACCAGGTATATATAAAGTATCCAGATGTGAGTACTTAAAAGGCAGTAAGGGCAAAGGTGGTTGGCACTCTTTCTGTGAGAGAATATGTCAGACCAGACATTTATGCTAAAAAAAATAGCATCCAAAAACAAATTATTCATTTTGACCAGGCTTCAACTTATTACTCATGTAATGGGGTGCCCATCCATATCTCTTTGTATTACATTTTGCAACAAAATATACTGTAAGGGAAATCTGATAGAAGTCTCTTACCTGCTAGATAGAGTGAATGGGAATTCTTGTTCTCAGGTACTTTATCTGACCTCTCACAGGGCTGCATGCCCAGAAATGTGATGATGTTGTTAACAGCCTCTGTGTTGAGAAAGTTTATTCAACAGTATTAGACAAGTTCAGCATTGACATCTCCCTTTGTACCCATATGTCTGGGATCTGGGGGTGTGGAATATTTGTCTAGAGAGGCTACTGGCCTTGAAAAATGGATGATTCAACCAAGTGATAAAGACAGGTACTTGTCTTTTAAATAAATGACTTACGATAGATTTAATGAAAAAGGAGTTCTAGAATAATATATATGCCTATTAGGTTTTATACTGTTATGTCAGATAGATTGGCAACACAAATGTTTTCACCTTCAAGTGTTTTGGTAGAGCTGAGGGCAAAGGTCTCTTCTTTCTCAAAGGTATCTCCCACCTCTTCCCAGGCAGCAGCAAAATTAGGCTTGAGTATCTTCTGAATGTGGTCAGACACAGTCACTTCAAGATCTTCTAGCTAGTGGGTAACAAGCAGCAGTCAGCAAATACAAATCATTTACATATAGAACAAGGATGGAAGGACCCAATCATTTATCACTGCAGGGGCAAATGAAAAACTCTACCACCACAATAGTTTAAATTATATAGTCTGGATAAACCTAATGCTGTAGGTCTTAACACAGAAAAGCAAGAAAACAGGACATCTAAGAAGAGCCAAATTCAGATCTACACCTATAGCCCTAGGTACACAGTAGTTATGTTGCCATATTTAGGTCATACAATACGTTCTAAAATTGCTATTCACAAACAGATTGATAAGTCTTCCCTCCTTTCTATCGAAAGTTTGCCAGTT